TCATTGGCAGAACAATTGAATGGGGGGGAAGGCATGGAGGGCAACCATGGATGCCAGGGACAATGGGGGAGGAGGATGGGACATAGCAGAGGGTGGGGGATGGGGAGTCAAGGATGGCAAGACAAAGGGCAAGGTATGTAGGACATAAGACTTGGAAAATTATTTGCTGAGAACATGTATGTTGATGTGCTTGATTGAGCCAATGCACAGTGTATTTTGGATGGAAAATTCATTTGTGTGTTGTGATGGTGTATAGTGAATTAATGTAGAAAATGAATAAATTAAAAAAAAAAAAAACAGGTGGCTAATATATAATATCTCAGGCTGAAACTGGAGCTGAGAACATTCGCAAGGCAGACTTGAACCTGTCCAGGTACTGTTAGGAGGGACTAGTGGGGGACAGGGAGGAGTGGCAGAGGAGCAAGAGCCGGAGCAGACGCGGGGACACGGACTTCAGGCGAGAGCAGCCATGCTGTCCGGACGGACGTTGGGAAGGCAGGTGTAGGGTGAAGCCGTGCATTTCATGGCACAACGCTGAAGGTGCTCATCCGCTTTTTATTCTCTCCATGAAGAGAAACTCCTCTAGTTTACAGGCCTGTCACGTGACAGGATGGAATTCGGGACAGGAAAGCAGACGGTGTCTTCCTCTAAATTGAGGGCAGGGATCTCATCGGCCCTGCAGCGTGAAGACCTCATTAAATGTTATTGTGATCTCTGTTGCTGTGCTTAGCTCTGTTCCAGTGGAAGAGCAAGAAGAGTTTAAGCAACTTTCAGATGATATTCAGGAGCTGCAGCAATCACTGAATCAGGAGTTTCGTCAAAAAACGGTATTGTGAGATACTTTAAAATTAAAAAACTTTTTTTGTAAATGCAGAGGGGCGTATTGTGGGGTAAGAGCACTTGTTTTTAATGACTAGAGAAGTCGAACCGTGGCTGCGCCTGTTTGTACCCCTTATGGCAGACATGGGCTGCTCTCTGCCGTGTGGAATGTGGGAGTTGGTCTGTGTTTGCCAAAGTTATGTGTTTGCCTTATTGTGTAGAATTTTTAAAGATTCTTGTGTATAATCCTTCTGTTTCCAAACTGTGCATGATGGCACCGTGGATACTGCGGCAGACCCTCAAAGGTGCCTCTGGATATTTTAAGTTTTATAGGAGACACTGCAGTACTCAGCGTCTGTCATACACTTCCTGAACTGCCAGCTCAAGGTAGTTCATGGCATCAATTTCAGTCACCCCAGACTTGCCTTTCCTATTTTCGTGAAGCTGGGATTTTTGTATTTGCTGTGATAAATAGCGACTAATGTGAAAATCATTGTGGAACAGGAAATGAGCATGTCTGTGTCTGGTTCCAAGGTATATGAATTTAGGTAGTGGCCCATAGATGCACACACAATTAGCAAGTAGTTTTTAAATTTTTTTTTCCAGTTTGTCCACATTATTTTTTAAAGGGCTGTTACGTTGTTAGAACATAAATACTTACGCAATTATTTGGACTTAAAAACTTTGGTAAAGGAAGTCTTAGATCTTTTGGGGGGACCTGTGGACCACATGAATAGGGAAAGTTTGAGAGCATCTGGTCTATTTGATTTCTCCTGACCAGGAGCGTAGCTAAATTTAAATCTGGTTTGAATTATAAAATATTTGTTTGCTTTTTTCATCAGATAGTGCTGCAAGAGGGAAATTCCCAAAAGAAGTCAGATATTTCAGAGAAAACCAAGTGTTTGGTGAGTGTCTTTTAACTAACATTCGAAATTTGAATATATTGTGTGGAGGACTATTTCAGCTGTGTGTATTATAGTCACATGTTTCTCCCTTATCTTTTTTCCTCTCAAAATGAAACTATCATATTTTTTTCAACTTAAATATAATAGATTATTATTGTTTCAAAATATGTCAAAACACAGAAATGTATGAGGAGAGTAAAAATCAACAGAAAGCTTACTACTTAATCTAATGTATATCATAGATTACATTCTGTGTAAATACACATAATTACGTGTGATTCAACGTTAATGATACTACATTCAGCATTCCCAGACCTGCTTCTCCCCTCCACTTAACAATGCAATGCAAGTAGTTAGGAGTTTCAGATACATCCCCACCACATTCATGAAGCGTGTGCGTGCGCTTTTTATGTAAGGACTGCAGTGCACGTCCTTCTGGTCTTATCGCTCAGACTTTCATATTGCTTCTAACATTTTTTGCTATTAAACATAAATACGTACCACATTTATATACCAGGCCTTTATAAAAATATGTGTGTTTTTGTCTTTCTAGAGAGGGAGGAAGCAAGTGAGAAATGGGGAACGGCCATGCAGCAATCCCTTTCACGTTCTCCTCAGGATTTGGGGCATGCACACGTGCCTGGCACGTTTTCCACGCTGCTGCATCTGGGACTCGAACGGTGCATTCAGCCATGTGGGATCCTGATGCCTTAACAAACAGTCATGACTGCCTAGCACCAGGGTGCTTTTTATCTTAGAATAAATTTTTTTTCTTTTTTTTTGGAGAGGTTTTTACTTTAGGGCGTGTGCGCTTGCCAGACAGACAGAGAGAGACAGAGAGACAAAAAGCGAGAAATCACCCCCCAGCGGGGATGGCCACGCCGCAATCCCTTCTCCTACATTCTCCTCTCGGGATCTTGGGCATGCACACACACGTGCCCGGCGTGAGTTTTAAACCACCGGGTCCGGGACGCGAACCGCGGTTGACTACGTGGGAGTCCAGCGACATAGCCATTACGCTAACTGCTGGTCCCTTAGAGTAAAATTTTAAGTTTACTATTTTTGGATCAAAGGAAATACACATTTAAAATCTACCCCTTTGCCAAACTGATCCTACAAAGATACCAATTTATATTCCTACTAATAGAATATAAGAGTGTCCGCAGCCAGCAGGTGGTGTGGTGGTCGAGGTGCCAGACTCCCACATGGCTGACCACAATGCGAGTTCCGGACTCAGCGGCTTGCCAGTGGCTTGAACATCACACCAGGTGCGTATGCAGGCATGCCCAGAATCCTGCGAGGAGGACGGAGAGGGCATTGTAGAGTGGCCATCCCCCAGGGGGCTGATTATTTACTTTCCCTCTCTCTGTCTCTGGTGATTGTGCATGACCTATGGCAAAAAAAAACAAAAACAAATGATAACAAATATGAGAGTGTCCCTTTTTCACAGCTTTGCCAAAATTGAATGTTTTTAATGTTTGTCTCTTTTTTTAAAAAAAAAATTTGCAGTAGGGTACGTGCACTCACCAGAGAGAAACAGAGACAAAGAGAGGGAAAGTGGGAAATCCTCTCCCAAGAGGATTGTTCAAGTCACAATCCTGTCTCCTCCATTCTCCTCTTTGGATTTTGGACATGCGTGCACACTTGCCTGGCACGTTTTTCAAGCCTCCAGATCTAGGACTCAAACCACAGAGTTGACTCTAACCACCACACCACCTGCTGACCCAATCTTTGCCTCCTACACACAAGTAAAGAGTCATTTTAATTTGACTTCTGGCGATTTTGGCGAGCTTAGTGATTTATTGTTGTTTCTTATTTTGTAAACTGCTTGTGTACCTTGCTGTTCTACTTATCAGAAACTCCACTAATGATGGATATTAGCTCTTTATTAATTTATCTTTCACATTTATAATTTTTTCTTATTAGAAGGTTTATGTGTTTAGGAAGTATGGTTTATAAGATGAGGGACCCTTCCTGTCCTTTCTCCTTGGTGTTGCATACGTAAGTAAAGAGGCATACTGGCAGTGGAAAATGCTTTTCCACTCTTCTCTCGCAGCTGTGATCCCCAAATGTCTGGAATTCTAAGTGGACAGCAGTTGGACATCCACTCATTCTGTCCTGGCTCTGTTTATCTGTGGAGATACCTCCCAGGTCCAGGGCTCAGTCTCACGAGCACCCCTACTGCAGACGCCACTCACCAGTCTGAACCTTGAACTTCTGGCCCACTGGCTCCAAGTTGGCTTTCCCACAACCCCGTCTGTCGAATCTTACTTTGCTAGAGGGGCTCACAGAAGTCAGGGAAACACGATTACCTGTTTGTTATAAAGCCTATTTTAAAGAATCCTGAAAAGCAGCCATATGTGGACATACACACGGCGAGATCTGGAAGGATCCCGAGTGCAGCAGCTCTGTCTCAGTGGAGTTGGGCATGCACCCTCCCAGCACATGGAGAGCTTCCTGTTCACCTTCCTGCAAGCCTCTATGTGTTCAGCTCTCCAGAAGCTCTGCAAACCCCTGTCCTTTTGGTTCTGTGTGGAGACAACATTGCATAAGCACAAAATGATAACGGACTGGCTGGGGAGCCCAGAAAAGGCCATCTGTTCAGATTGTTGGCCTGTGTGTCATTCATTCCTCCCAAGAGTGGAGCAGGGCCCTTCTGGAATGAGAATCTTAAGGGTGGAGGAAGATGGGAGTTTCTCTGACTGCCTTTGGGGCAGGTGAAAGGAGGCCAGGAGAAGGCTACACCTTTGTCTTTTTGAAGCTGTTCTGAAGCTGCTTAGGAACCAAGCAGAAGGCCAACCAGTTATCGACCATGAACCAAGGACAGAAATCAGTATATGTATATGTAGATATGTATGTCTATGTGTAATCTGCCCATATGTGTATGTATCATATATAACAAATAGAAGTAGAAGGAGGTTCATCATGAAATGATTTTTAACTTAATTTCAGACTTGTCAGGGTTTTAAGAAAATTTCTAGACAACTTCACTTCTGTTCCCCAAATGGTTACATTGACTTTAAAAATTTGGGAGAAGAGAATTTGTGCTGATTTGTATATTGCACATCTTCCCAGTGTTATTACTTTGTTTGGGGACCAGGAGAACAAAGATAACTTTTCAACTTTGCAACTCTGAAGTTGCACAGTCAGTAAAACATTAAGTATGTAATCGTATAAAGTTGCATTTATAATAATTGTACCGTTTATGGAAGGAATGTAAAGAAAACGGGAGTAGGACTTTCGGGATCCATAGAAGTTGAGTAGGCAGACAGAAATGGGATGACGATGATCAAGGAGGACCGTAGAAATCAGAGAGCGATCACGAGACTTGTGTGAACGTACAAAAGCCGACTCCTCAGATTCAGGAGGTTCAGGAGGAAACCCCTGGGACATGGAGCTGGGAAGGAGGGTGAGAGCTTTGTGACGAGGTTTTGACCATCATGCCAAGGAGCTCGACCTTTGCCTACAGATAGGCGTGAGCACCTATGTGGGTGAGAGATGTGGTCAGGGTTTAATTCTGCCCGCACTGCATTGAGCACAGACCTGATTTCTTTACGATTTTCCACTCTCTGAATGGTGATTCCCCGATGGTAATATCATATCTAATGTAGAAAAATGTTTTTTCAACAGAATGAACTAAAATTGTTGGTGGTTTCTTTGAAAGAAGTTCAAGAGAATTTGAAAACAAAAATTGTGGATTCTCCAGAGAAGCTGAAGAATTACAAAGAAAAAATGAAAGATACAGTCCAGAAGCTTAAAAATTCCAGGGTTAGTTTCTTCTCTATTTTAAGGCTTTTTTTTTTTTCCAAGGTTTTTATTTTTAGTAAACTCTTGTCCAATCTTATGTGTTAATTTTCTGATTTCTGGGTCACTTATACTTCTCTTTCCTTTAAATTTTAAAAGAATTAGCTGATTATGTCTCTAATTTGTAGTTTTTTTCTAAAGTGGGTTTAATACAAAAGAAAAATTTCAAGATATTTGTTTAATTGCACTGTAAAGTTTTGAGCTTTACTTTGGGTGATCAAAACAGAAATGCTCAGGCCCAGCAGGGGGCATGGTAGTTAGAGCACTGAACTCCCACTGTTCGAATCCTGGACTTGGCAGCCTGAGAAAAAAATTACACCGGGCATGTGTGTATGTGTGTGTGTGTGTGTGCCCAAAATCCCAGGAGAAAAAGGGATTGCAGCATGGCCATCACCTCAGGAACTGATTTCTCATTGGCTCTCTCCAGCAAGTGCCAAAAATAAATAAATAAGCAAAACAAGCAGAAATGTTCTTTGTGAGATTTAGCTACTTTATTACAAGGGAGAGAGGTATTAAACAATTCTACAAATAACTACATAGTTATAAATTATAGTATGTGCTGTGAAAATGTCTAGATATGCCTGTGTAGGGTCAGGGCATAGGAGAGATCTCTGTACTCTCTGGTCCATTTTGCTGTGAATGTAAAATGCTTGAAAAAATTAAATTATTTAAAAGATAGTACTCAAAGGAGGGGGGAAAGTCTCTCTAGCAAGCAGATGCATCCTATAGCAAAAATTTCTCAAAGAAAACAGAGTTCTGGCTCAATTTTCTATTCATCTACAAGAAAAGGAAGCTGGGCCTATACCTTATACCACTTACAAAAATTAATTCTATGTGCATTGAAAATTTAAACTTAGTAATTTTGGAAATTTTAGAAGAGCATTATATAATCTTAGTCTGGGAGAGACTTTTTTTAAACTTAAGATTGGAAACTCGAAAGGAATACAGAAAAGCAGTCCTATGAGAACATATTCATAATGCATATGATAGATAAAGGGATTATATCCATTACATCAAAAATGTGGAGAACATGTACAACTTAGTAAGAAAAACACAGTAGAACAGTGAACAATGTGATCAAGCACTTCACTGAGGATGAAATGCGAGTAATTAATAAGGTCGGACGAGGGGCAGGCTGGTGGGAGAATGGAAGAAGTCTTTGTATTTTTGCAGTCGTTATGGTAAATATATGTTCATATTGTAATTTTAGAAGGGGAATGAATCTTTTTAAAAGAATGAGCTGTGGTGGTAGTTATTGTACAAATGAATAGAAAGATTATGAATGAGTAATACGATTGCCCAGGCATAATTAGAAGTATTGGCAGAATGAACCCTTTTTTATCATCATGAATAACCTTTGGAAGGTACTTCAATGAGTAATTTAGTAAAATTATGGCAGTTTTCCTTTGTTCGAGGATATTTGGCAATTAAGAAGCATAATTATATGTGCTTAGACACGTCAATAATAGTGCTTTGTTACTGACCTAGAAACTTAATTGTTCTCTGCTCTTAAGCTTTCAATATTAAGTGCAGAAATTATTTAAGAGCAAACAAATTGACATTACTGCAGTCTTACAAAGGAAACTATCAAACTGGTCTTTTTTTTTTCCTTCTTCTTTCTTTTAAAGCAAGAAGTGATGGAGAAGTATGAAATCTATAGAGATTCAGTTGACTCCCTGCCTTCTTGCCAGCTGGAGGTGCAGTTATAGCAAAAGAAAATACAGGACCTTGCAGATAACAGGGAAAAATTAACCAGTGTCTTAAAGGAGGTTTGTATTGCATGGGATTTTCTTCTCTCTTATTGCATAACAGGTTACTGTAGTTCCTTGAATTTCGCTTTCCTTTTTTTGTTTCTGCTTTCCTGAAGAAAAGCAGGATCATTCTGTAGTACCACCATAGATGTGGCAGTTCGTGCTAGGGAACAGGAGACTTGTTAAGCAAAGCAGTAGCGAGACCTCCTTAACTTTCAGATGAAAGAAATAAGAATAGCACATTGCTGTGGATATTTTGGAAAACAGTAATGGCATTTTAAACTTGTCCTAACAGTTGGAAATGATCTTCAGTCGATAATCTTACAGGCCCAATTAGGGCCCATCCCTCCACCTGGAGAGAGATTTAAAGTTTATGACATAATCGCTGCTTGAAGAATGGGAGCTAATGTTGTCATTGAAGTTTCTCAGGCTGGAAGCTTGAAAATATCTGTCACTTCTTAGCTTTTCCCTCTTAATCCACTGTCCCCAGGATCACTAACACGACAGTGGATAAGCAAAGCAATCTCTTTCTTGGAGAGAAGTTGAGAAGGGAGAGTGCCCAAGGTATACTTTCCCAGCCACATGGTCCCTGTATCTGCCATCAGGAGTCACCGCCTTCCCCCAAATCAAGATCTACTGCTGTTCATTGTTTCGAGGTCTCCTTTTTCTTCACATCTACTGCATTAGTTCAGACCCTAAGCTCCTCAATGCCAGACTCTCAGCCAGTCTTACTATGCCCGTCTATCCCGCCCTTGCTGATAGGATAGTGTGATGAGAGCGCCCGACCAGGGGTTGGGTGTTCTTTCTCAGGACCCTAGTGCCTGCCCGCTGTCCCCTTGGTTCAGTCTTTCATTTTCTGCCTAGTGTTCAGGCTTTAAACAGCTTTACTTCATTTTAAAATTGTATTTTATTATAGCTCACTGTAGAGAATACTCTTTCCTTTTGTTTATAAATCCTAGTTAGTTGTCTTGACTTTAAATATTGTAACATACAGAGCCTGAACTTGGAGGACCAAATCGAGAGTGATGAGTCAGAACTGAAGAAATTGAAGACTGAGGAAAATTCATTCAAGAGACTGATGATTGTGAAGAAGGAAAAACTTGCCACAGCACAATTCAAAATAAATAAGAAGCATGAAGATGTGAAGCAATACAAACGCACAGTAATTGAGGATTGCAATAAAGTTCGAGAAAAAAGAGGTGCTGTTTTTGAGCAGGTAACCACAATTAAACAAGAAATCCAGAAAATGAAGTTTGGAATTCGGCAACTAAAAGATCCACTGAAAGGGAGAAATTGAAGTCCCATGAAATATTTTTAAACTTGAAAACAGCTTTGGAGAAGTACCATGAAGGCATTGAAAAGGTGCCAGAGGATTGTGGTGCTGACATAGACGAGAAAACAGCTGAGCTGAAGAGGAGGATGTTCAGAACGGCCACCGGAGGCACAGAGGGACACGTCTTTTTGTAAACAGCTGGCCATCTTTTAACTTTCTGTTTGGAAAGGGACTAGTGAAACTGAAGCTAATGGAAGTATCGGAAGTACCAAATACTGCAGGCTCATTCAGCTTTTAGGTACTCGGATAAGTGGTTATTTTATAAAAGACGCATTTAATGTAGGCTTTTGTTCACTTAAAATTGTGGTAACTTGTGTAGCTATTCATGTCTCCCTTTGATGAGTCAGAACTGAAGAAATTGAAGACTGAGGAAAATTCATTCAAGAGACTGATGATTGTGAAGAAGGAAAAACTTGCCACAGCACAATTCAAAATAAATAAGAAGCATGAAGATGTGAAGCAATACAAACGCACAGTAATTGAGTATGAAGTTCCTTTCCATTTTAATGTATTAGAAAGTAATTAGAGGGCAAGCCAGTGTGTATGTGGGGCAGTGGAGACAGCTGGACGCCACCTGGCCACCGTGCAGTTCCAGTCCCAGACCTGGTGGCCTGAGAAACATGCCAGGCACGTGTGTGCCAGAATCCCAAAGGAAGACGAGATGGAGGAGAAGGGATTGTCATGACCAATCCCCAAGGAGGGGCGTCGTCTCACTTCCCTTCTTTATCTTCCTGCGTCTCTCTCTGGCGACTGCACATACCCTCTAGTAGAAACTGAAAACAAGCAAAAGAAGAAAGTAATTAGGAAAAAGCAATATAATTTCTGCCCCCCAGGATTCCAAAACTACTATATTTTCAAAAAAGTATTCCACCTTTAGGTGTTTAAAACAGAGGAATTATGAAATTCATATTGTGTCCAGATTTAGAGAGGTATTAGTTACTAGTTGTTTTTTTTTTCTTTTCTAAATACTGCAATTCTAATTTCTTTGTGTAATTCTTCAAAAGGATGTCTGCTTTTTGAGTGCACCTCAGAGACAGTGGTCTAGATTCGTATTAGAATGAATCAGTAAGTCTGTCTCAGTCCAGCTGGTCTGTAGAGTTTATTACAACCTTAATGTTTTGAGAAGTCTTATTTTTTTACGTTTACACGTGAAAGAATACTTTGCTAGCCATCACATTAAGCCAGCGTGCTTGGGTATCTTGGTGGTAGGTGTCTCTCCTATCATTTCTGAGGTGTTTTTAGAATACATGCCCCAGATGACTGTGATGACACTCCTCCAGCCCTTACGAGGCTCAGCAGGGGTCCTCTGAGTGCTTTCCTTACAGTGTCTCCTGCAGATGAAGAAAAGGGGCCAAGCGCTGAATTTTGTACTTGTTGCCAACTGCCTTTGAGGAAAGTGTCCACAGTCCCACCAGCAAGATTGTGTGTACAATTGGGGAAATGTCTGAAAACCTTCATTATAAGGAATATCTTTTAGGTGAAGGAACTTACTTATCTCTTATGACATGATTATAGCACCATGCTTGGGGCTTTTCATCTGTTTGCTTTTATATTTTGAGAAGAACGTTGGGTTTGTCAAACACTGGGTCATCGGAAAAGTCATGATGCATTTTCGCATAGAAAACACGTCACGACCTTTCCAGCAATTCAGTACTTACATATGATGGCTTTAGAATCAAAGTCAGAATTAAAAGTTTGTCCTTTCGAGTGCTTGAGAGGAATTCTATATTGTGTCTCTTTTCCCTTAGGGATTGCAATAAAGTTCAAGAAAAAAGAGGTGCTGTTTTTGAGCGAGTAACCACAATTAAACAAGAAATCCAGAAAATTAAGTACGGAATTCAGCAACTGAAAGATGCCACTGAAAGGGAGAAATTGAAGTCCCATGTGAGTATGTTTTTATAAGAAATTAATTTCAGATAGTCTCATGAGTTTAAAATGTAAATTCTGTCAGTCTCACTGGAAGATGTTCTTAATTCTGTGGAGCAGAAATTGATCCCCCGGGCCCTTTGCGTTTCTTTCCATTCGTAGACCCTTCCTGTTACCCTGTGTAGCCTGCAAGTGCCTTCTCCGTGCCCTTTCCCCCTGACAGCACTTCGCAGAGTATCCTTCTCTGCAGTAAAAAGTAGTTGCTTCACAAAGTTTCTGGTTTCTTAGGTAAATGAACTTGGGTAGTGATTTTAAGTAATGTCCTTTAAAACTTTTCTGCATTTTTTTCCTTCTAAAAAGATCTCTATTTGAGTTGTTAAATAAAACAAAAGAGCTTAGCTTAGACCCTGTGTGTTAGCAGACTTTCAATATCTGTATCTGAAATTACTTACCGCGCTTATTTTTGCTTGACTTGAGTATATTTTATTTATTATTTCTGTAGCCGGAGGGTGTGGGCAGTCACTGAGGGAGGGAGAAAGCACCCCCGGTGGTGTGAGTCCCTCCACAGCCCTGTCTCCATGTCTTCATCCCGTCAGGATTTGGGGCACACATGCATGTGTACCCAGCAGATTTTTCAAGCCACAGGGGCTGGATTTCAAACCTCAGTTGACCGTGTGGGACCCCAGTTCCTTAACAGCTGAGTTTCCGATCCAGCTCAAGTATATTTATTTTATCACCTCATATATGGGCTTACGTTTAATGGAAACAGGTGTCTTCTTTTCTACAGTTTTATCATTCAAAATGTCTCTTGAAACTTTGTTTCAAACTTCGGTGTAGAGTATTGACCAGTTTCTATCTTTAGCTGCCCGTGTCTCTGACAAGTGGTCTCTTCCTCATACCTCTATTAGGCTCTATCTTCTCCTTAACTTTTGACATTTGATTTACATCTTCAAGACTGTTCAACTGGAACAATTTCCCAAACTGCCCTGCCCAAGTCACTTAAAATAGCTGTAGTATGTAAAATCCCTTGGCCTCTTTTTTTCTTTCTCGTTCTTTTTTATCTTGCCTATGGTGACACCTCGTAACCAGATACCTAAGAAACATTTTAAAAAGTGCTGTCCCTGCCTATCCGCCCATTATCCACTCCCAGTTTGCAAAGATCCTTAATACAGAAAGAGCCTCCGTAGACAAGCCCCTAGCTGTTCTCAGCTCTTCTCCAAGCTACTTTAAAAGAAAAGAAAAAAGATAGGAATGGAGGAAGGGAAGGAGGGAATTAAAGTCAAAGACAAAATGGTGGTTGATTTCCCCTTCCGTGATCTGACAGTGACTGTACTGCTTTTTCCTCTTCCTCATTTTCTTTCTGTGCTCCGGCTGCTTTTCTTTTTCTGTTCCTTAATTAGATGCTAAGACTCGGTGTCTGTTTATCTCTAGGATAGGGCTTAGAAAGAGTTTAGGAGAGGTTTGATTCTGCCTCTTAGCCAAATCAACTCAACAGGTACGTGTCATCACACGGTGTAGGCAGTTAATTGAAGAACCAGTCATTAAGAAATTGGTGACTCGTTTTGAGGTACCTCTGTTTATCAGTCATAGAAGACCAGGCTGTCCTTTCACACTGCCATCGGTGCGTGTATGTCTCACAGTAACGTTGTGTGTTTCTCAACAGTCGCCGTCTTGTGTTGTCAGCCTTAATGTGTCATGTCCAGCCGCGGCTAGAGTGGGGCTTTATATGCAGTATGCGTTCCGGAAATACTTGTAAAGGAGAAATCACCGAGACAGCAGATGGCATGATGGTTATGTTGCCGGACTCCATTGTCATTGACTGTGGTTCAGGTCCTGGACTCAGCAGTTTAAAACTCATGCCTGTGTATGTCCGAGATCCTGAGAGGAGAATGAAGGAGGGATTGCAGGATGGCCATCCCCGTGGGGGGTGATTTCTCACATCCTGTCTCTCTGTCTCTCCAGCGAGCACACACCCTCCCCATCACAGAAATCTCTATAAAGAGAGAGAGATCATCTAGCATGCTGTTTCTCAAAACTGGCTGTGTATTAGAATTCAATTAGGAATTTTCAATTGAACAACCTTCCCTCCAAGTATATTGAAGTAGAATCTCCAGTGGTGGGCCCTGGGAACCTGTGATTTCTAGCATGGCTTTTGAAAGCCACTGAGGGTTCAGCGTGGTCATTTTCATGCTACAGAGCTTATGACCATGTTCTACTAGGGCGGCTTTAGTTGTTAAAATGTTACTTCTTGTTTTGAGTTTAAAAAACTCATTTCTGTACTCTAATGTACCCAGAGCTTCTCTCCAACAAATCTATCTCCTTCTACTTATTAACCCTTTGGACATTTGAAGATAATAATCATGGGAACTTTCAGCCATCTCTTTTTTTTTTTTTTTTTTTTTTTGAGAGGTTTTTGCTATAGGGCACATGCACGTGCTCGCTGGAGAGACAGAGAGAGAGAAAGTGAGAAATCACCCTGTGGCGGAATGGCCATGCCTCTGTCCCTTTTCCTTTGTTCTCTTCTTGAGATCTTGGGCACACATGCACACGTGCCCGGTGTGAGTTTTAAGTCGCTGGGTCTGGGACTCAGCTGCAGTCGACTAAGTGGGAGTCCAACAACTTAACCACTGTATCATCTGGGGGTCCTTCAGCCCTCTCTTATTCAGGTTAATTCACCCCAGTTTCCCAGCCATTCTTTTCTTTTCTTTTTTTTTTTTTTTTTTGTGAGAGATTTTTGCTGAAGGGCTCATGTGTGACAGAAAGCAAGAAATCCCATAAATAACTTACCTGTTCTAGTTCCAAGTATTCCCTCTAGTTGGAAAGCTTTAAAAAATCTTAGGTTTCTTGTTTTGGCCACAAACAGCTAATAAGTAAATAAATAAATAAAATTACATTTCATATTTTCTTGCATCCGTTCTCATCTTCTCTGTCCTCCCTGTTTCACTCAGTTACTTCATAAATTGTTATATATTTCTCACTGGTGTCATTTTCTGTCACGAAGAATTGCAGTTTGGACGTGCTTTAGATAATCTGGACACACAGATAGTCTAGGTCAATTTCATGATTTTTTTATGCAGTCACACTGTTCCTGATTATCCCTTCCATTCATATATCCATCACCCAATTTTGTAATACTCATGGTTCATAGCATGGCTTTGCAGAATTTCCTCCTTGATCTTAGCTTGTCCTGCATCAAACCTGCACTTGATATTAAGTAGTCCAGACACCTATTCCTGCTAACATAACGTCCTTAAGACTGTACTTCCTTGTTGGAGCAGTTTCCCTGCCGTTTCTTCCTTCAGTCAGTCCGTTTCTCACCCAGCGGCCTACGCGTCGTCTGGGTGTCCAGCATTACACTTGATTCAGGAAGTGAACTGAAAGCATGGAAGGCACAATCCCCCCTCTAAGACCGTCAAGATTGTGCATCTAAGCTAATCCTTTAATTCCTTAAGGTTTGATGGAAATTACATCCTGACGTTCTCTGACTCCTTCGCCTGACCCCTTTCAGTTATCCTTGGTTTCTCGCCTTCTCAAATACTATAGTATTTTTGGTCTATTTGAAATAATATCGATTTTTGCCATGCGCTAGGCAGCTGCTGGCACCATGTGGCTAGTCACATGAAACTCTGTTGCATTGAAATGCATTTAGGAACTTAGCTCCACATCCGCACCAGCTCTGTTTGAGGTGCTCAGTGTTCAGTACGGCCTGCTGTTCCTTGTGTCTCTGGTTGTACTATTTACAGTGTTGCCTAAGGAAAAATCCAATAATATATTTCTTCGATAAATTAATACATACTTGTGGTGGTGTGGATGGCCATGCTAGCTTCTACATCTCCATGGATATTGTATAATATTCAATTTCTCTGATTTGAAAAGTGAGATAATTATTTAGATGAACATTGTTCAGTAGAACATTTCAGAATAATGAGAATGTTTCCCTGTGCTGTGGCCACTAAGCACATGTGGATTTTTTTCTCTTTTTTCCTTTTTTTGCCATAGTATGCATGCATATGAGACAAGGAGAAAAGCCCCTAGTGGGGCCTGGTTTTGCTGTAGTTTTTTCCCTCCAGTTTTTCTTCCCGTCAAGACCTCAGGCATGCACACACCAGTGCAAAGCTGCCAGGCCTGGATGGGATCTGCCTGCCTTGGTGCACTGCCCAACCGGCTCTGCCGCAGGGCAGGCCTGTGTGTGTCTTTTGAGCCTCTGATGTGTGCCTAGTGTAACTGAGGAAGTGAATTTTTAATTAGATTTAATTTAAATCCTATTGAAATAGGCACTTGTGGCTATAGGTTACCACATTGGACAGCATGGAACTAGATTTTGAGTTTAAAAATATTTAACCTCAGTGAGGCCATCACATCATAAGACCGACGTGTGAATTACTGTGAGCGCTTATTATAAGGTTCTGCTTGGATACAGGATTTAATTGGAAACTCTAAAATATCAGTATGTGGCGTGTGTGAGGGCTGTGGTCTGTCACCGTAAACATCTCATGAGGACTGGCTGGGGACTGCAGGTGCGCATGTGCTCTGTGGACGAGCCGCCGGAAGTGGGCCTTACTGTTTCGCTCAGCTGTGGCCGCTCTGTCTGCAGGGCTGGGCTCTTCCTGGAGAGTGTTACTCGCTCTCAGGAGGAAAGTGTACCTTTGGGTGTGTCGAAATGGTTGGTTTGGATATTTATAGATCGTCTCTTTACCTTTATTTAGCCATACTTAGTTTTGATAGTTTCTTACAAGTAATATTTTTCTACCAAATGTATTCAGCTTTCTTTTTAGTATGAATAAACATATATGCCCATAGAACTAGGAGATTAAATTGATCTATAGCTGCTGAATACGCTGATTTTTTTAAATGGCATTCACACAAGCTAAAAACGAATTCACCTTATTTTTTAATACAAGATTTAAGAAATAAAGCTTTCAACGTTTTTTATTTATTTTCCTAATGGTTCATACTCTATCATAGTTGTAGTAATTTGATATCTGCTTAGAGCCTAGAAATCGAAACACACTCTTTTACTTTTGTATTAGGATTTAATAACTATGGTTTTGGTTTTTTAGAGAATGTTTAATCTTAAGCGTATATTTATATTCACTTAATCTGAAGAAATAGTTCTCAAAGTTGCTTAGGTGGCAGAGTTTCTAGAAATAGTGCCCTTTTTGGAGCACTATGAATTCATACTCTATTAAATTATTCTCTATGTAATTTATTCAAATCAGACAGTATCTGCTAGAAGTTAAATGAAGGTAAGTAGTAGCCAAAATTGTAGGTTTAAGAAAAATGTCATGGAGGGGCCAGCAGGTGGTATAGTGGTTAAGGTGCTAGACTCTTAGGTGGTTGACTGAGATTTGAGTCCTGGACCTAGCATCTTGAAAATCATGCTGGGCATGTGTACCTGTGTGCCCAAAATCCCAAGAGGAGAAGGGAGGAGAAGGGATTGCACCATGGCCATCTCCCTGGGAGGGACTTATTTTTTTACTTTCTACTTATCTATTTAGTTTATTTAAAAAAACAACAACAAAAAAAAAACAAGCAAACAAAAACTCTGGAAGGTGTTAATGTACTTTTCAGACCTATATGGTATTTATTCAGTCTGTTTATATGTCTTCTAAATGATAACCGGGTCAAATGCAGAGGTTGTTGTCATGTACAGTAATCTTGTTTTTGTTTGTTTGTTTGTTTCTTTTTTTTAATGTTTTAACATGGAAAGCCCTCAAGCTTTTCTTCGTAATTATAAATATGACTTTTCTTAGTCTCTTGGGATTCTAGATATTGTCACGTGCTTCTGTTGTTCTTTCTAAGTAGCAGACTTTTTTTAAAAGTGTTTATATAGCTTGCAATGAAATTTTAATAAGAGCAGGTACCTGTGTGTGTGTGCACTTACGAGTTAAGACTTTAAAATATTAATAAATATGAGTGAAACTGGGACCAGTAGTTAGCATAATGGCTGGGTCACTGGACTCCCATGTAGTCAACCGCAGTTCGAGTCCCGGACTCGATGTCTTAAACATCACACTGGGCGCGTGTGCATGTGTGCCCAAGGTCCTGCGAGGCGAATGGAAGAGAAGGGATTACGGCATGGCCATCCTCCCTGGGGAGTGATTTCTCGCTTTCTGTCTCTCTGTCTCTGTCTTTCTGGTGAGCACATGCGCTGTATAGCAAAAACCTCTCCAAAAAAAAAAAATATGAGTGAAACTTATAGGAATTCCTATAACTCATTTTTAGTTTAGGTCATTGCATGGAATAGTCACTTTTATTCTGCTTTATTTTCCATTTAGGAAATATTTTTAAACTTGAAAACAGCTTTGGAGAAGTACCATGAAGGCATTGAGAAGGTGACAGAGGACTGTGGTGCTGACATAGAGGAGAAAACAGCTGAGCTGAAGAGGAGGATGTTCAGAACGGCCACCTGAGGCACAGAGGGACACGCCTTTTTGTAAACAGCTGGCCACCTTTTGACTTTTTGTTTGGAAAGGGACTAGTGAAGCTGAAGCTAATGGAAGTATCGAAGTACCAAATACTGCAGGCTCATTCAGCTTTTAGGTACTCGGATAAGTGGTTATTTTATAAAAGACGCATTTAATGTAGGCTTTTATTAACTTATAATTGTGGTAACGTGTGCAGGTATTCATGTCTCCCTTTTGCCCGTTTTTGTAAGTAGTGATTGCATTAAAACAAAGTCGCTACCTTTGAAATGTCTGGGGTGCTTTGGTTCCTGTCACGGCTGCCGTTGTGCTGCTCGTTGGCATACAGAGCTGTGACTTTCTCGGGCCCTGACTCTTCTGCCATTGGTGTTTCCTCGAGGTAAATATTTTCATTATTATTTTATAGCTGAAGTTAACTGAACTGCATTCTGTATGATACCAAAGTCGGGCATGTTTCTACTGTACCATGTTTTCTGATGTAATTATTTAAAAGTTTGAGCATAGAAGTCCGTTTCTTCATTAATGCCCCTGGCAATTTTATGAAAAGAATGAATGAAAACATGAAACGTGACTAGAGCAATTCATTTTACTCACGATACCAGGCCAGCACATCTGAGAGGGGGCGGGACTCTGACAGGGTCTCATCATGCTTGATCCCCTTCTCCACAGCACTCCAGCGAGGCATGATCTTGGACACTGGTGCCTAGCGTGTTTCGGGTGAACTGGGATCTAAACCTGTGGTGGCCACATGGCTTCCAGCACTGCAGAGTAGCAGGCTCCTTACCTGTGGCACCATGACGGCGCAGGTACTGAACAGTGTGAGTGTAATGTAGGTCGAGACCCGGCTTCCAGGGAGAGAAGCGGCAAAAATGAGGTGTCCAGGGAGTAGACGTGGTATATAGTTGAGCTGTCGCCTTGTCCCTTCCTAGCTTCCCTTTAAATATTAGTAGTAATTGTGACCCATAGAAAGGGGATGAGGCTGGGGTAAGCAGGACCAGAGCTCATCCTACATTTTGAAACTTTCAGCCCCCTTACACCTATCTTTACTTTGAGTTACTGCCCTTCATTTGTCATGAGCTAATTTCTAGAAAACTAATCTAGACTTGTGAATCTACTTCACCGCATGCCTGTCATGGGAGTTCCTTTATCTGCACTGACCCCTGAGCTGTCGACTCCTACTTTCCTACTTAAGAATTCCACGGGTGCGTTTTTCTTCCTAACCTCTTCCTGTCTAATACTTATATCCCTTTGTCTCAATAGCACAACTATCTCGATGTTCGTGGTTTTTCCCTTTTTTCCATGTATTTACTTACTTTTTACATTTTTCCACAAACATATCACAAAATTTTTGCTCATACCCCATAGTTCTTGACAGTTAATAACTTTCAAAATTTCATAATAACGAATTTTAAAGACAATATTCAAAATATTTCTTATAATGTTGTATAATTTTGTTTGTGACTCTATAACAACAGAGTCAGTATGGTTTTAAGTGTTTTTGAGAAAATATTTACATGTCAACCAAACGCGCTCGATCTTGCCTTGGTGCTCTTTAATTCTTGTTTTAACCCCCCCTTGGCCTCGTTCTCTTCACCTCTCAGGGGTTTGTGTTTTCTAGGCTTCTGCCCCTGCCCTCATTTCAACCTCTGCATTTTCTCTTAAGCACTTCTATCTACCCTCACGGCTTCAGTCCTGAGTTAAACATCTATACAACTTTTGTTACATTCATGTACAATTTTACATTTGTCACACTTCTGAATTTCGGGCCTGTATGTCCGATGGGCAGTAGATGTTTTTAACTTTTTGGCATCTAGACGCTTAGTGGACCCTTTCAGAGTAATGTTTTTATGCATGAAATAAAATACAAAATTGCAAGAGAAACCAACTAGATTCCATGATTATTCAAATATTTAAGAGCATATTGTAGTGAATAGTATCCATACTTTTGTCCATGTTGGAAAAGGAACTCACCTTCTTAAGCCACTACCCCTCCTATTCCTTTTAGCAAGAATTGTGGATTAATATAGAGAAGTCTCCCTCTTCCATCTTTGCTCGTGTTGTAATTTGCATCCTCATGATTTCTCACTTGAGGTACCTAGAACACCCTTAACCACTTTCCAGTGTCTGACCCATCTTTACGAAGACGTTCGAGTCGTCCGATGTGCAGATTGTTATGTCAGTGATCCGTGCACAGGCTGTGTGCTTTTCACACGCTCCCTCGGTGCCATAGTGATCTCACAGGGGAACCATGGGATCTTCTAGAAGTTCTAAAGGGAACATCAGTACTTGCTATCTCAACACCATTGCAAACTCCCAGCCCAAGGTAGTTGTGAGTGTCGTCGTTAGGCCATGTCCCACTCCTTTCCATGACATTCCTTTTGTTTGTGACTCTATAACAACAGAGTCAGTATGGTTTTAAGTGTTTTTGAGAAAATATTTACATGTCAACCAAACGCGCTCGATCTTGCCTTGGTGCTCTTTAATTCTTGTTTTAACCCCCCCTTGGCCTCGTTCTCTTCACCTCTCAGGGGTTTGTGTTTTCTAGGCTTCTGCCCCTGCCCTCATTTCAACCTCTGCATTTTCTCTTAAGCACTTCTATCTACCCTCACGGCTTCAGTCCTGAGTTAAACATCTATACAACTTTTGTTACATTCATGTACAATTTTACATTTGTCACACTTCTGAATTTCGGGCCTGTATGTCCGATGGGCAGTAGATGTTTTTAACTTTTTGGCATCTAGACGCTTAGTGGACCCTTTCAGAGTAATGTTTTTATGCATGAAATAAAATACAAAATTGCAAGAGAAACCAACTAGATTCCATGATTATTCAAATATTTAAGAGCATATTGTAGTGAATAGTATCCATACTTTTGTCCATGTTGGAAAAGGAACTCACCTTCTTAAGCCACTACCCCTCCTATTCCTTTTAGCAAGAATTGTGGATTAATATAGAGAAGTCTCCCTCTTCCATCTTTGCTCGTGTTGTAATTTGCATCCTCATGATTTCTCACTTGAGGTACCTAGAACACCCTTAACCACTTTCCAGTGTCTGACCCATCTTTACGAAGACGTTCGAGTCGTCCGATGTGCAGATTGTTATGTCAGTGATCCGTGCACAGGCTGTGTGCTTTTCACACGCTCCCTCGGTGCCATAGTGATCTCACAGGGGAACCATGGGATCTTCTAGAAGTTCTAAAGGGAACATCAGTACTTGCTATCTCAACACCATTGCAAACTCCCAGCCCAAGGTAGTTGTGAGTGTCGTCGTTAGGCCATGTCCCACTCCTTTCCATGACATTCCTTGTGAAGCTGGAGTTCTGGTGTTTCCTATGAAACAAGTACAATTGGCCCTGTATATCTGCAGTTTGAGATGGAACCTGCAGATTCAACCAGTCCAAACTGAAAATATTAAAAAACAAATCAACAATAGGAACAGGGAGACAGTACAATATGGCAACTATTAGGCTACTGGGAGAGTCATGATGTATTTGTCTGCTTTTCTATGCAAAAATGAGTCATGACTTCTCCAACCACCCGATGTTTACGTAGCACTTACATCGCATTGTAAGTAACCTAAAGATGATGTAAAGAATATGGAAGTAGGCAGGATATACGCAAGTAGTGTCCTCAGGGAACTTGAGCATGTTTGAAGTTTGCCTGGGGGTTGTGGAACCAAAGTCCCTTGAGAGACAACTGCATCGCATGAAAATCATGGAATAGGAGATGCGGTGGCACTAGCCAATCTGATTCCAAAGTCTGAGAAGCTCTTCAAGTGCCCCATAGGCACAGACATCCAATTAAGAGGAAAGTAAAAGTGTTTTGAGTTTGTTATTTTTCTTCCTTACGCTTTGTTAGGACATAACGCCTATGAAATTTCTTGGACCTAACTTCTTACTAAACAGAAGAGTTAAAGAGTCCTGGGATCTTTGCCTATAGGACAAAGTATAAACTTGCTTGAATAAGACCCTCCCCGATCTAGACTCTAACCCTTTTTCCTGCCACTGCTCTGAACTTCACCCTTAAGCAGGGCTGCGCTGTCTGGGTGTCAGCTCGTCAACACTTCTTCCTTCGCGTAATGTCTCCTTGGCTCAAAAAACACTTGCTTTTCAAGTCTCAATCCAAACTCAACTGTAATTTTTTTTTGTAACTGTCAGCTTTTCCTTTTGTTCTTCTGGTACTATTTGTGCAACAGGCTATTATGTAATTTTTTTATACATGTTTTCTACCTGGCTAGACTTTGGATTTTTTGAGGCCAGCAACTATTGGGTTGTCAGGACAGTTGTGATGTGTTTTTACATTAAAAAAAAAAAGAAGAAGAAAAGTATGCCAGAAAAGACTTCCCTGACAGCCTAGTGCGTCTGTTTTGGCTAAGGCTTAGCAGGCCTCGTACTTGGTAACACTAGAATGTTTACTGATGGAATAGCCATTTTTTTTCTCCCATGTCAAAGTAATATTATCATCAGGGTCAGGTTTCTCTTTAACCACCGAGAGACACTCAGCGTTTGTGCACCCCCCCCACCAATGTCAGCATACGCTCTAGAGGGTTGATAGCCTTACTCTCACCTGTTTTTGTCCCCAAATAGGGAAAAAGCCTTATTCAAGATCACCTCAGTATAATCTATATTAAAACCTATAGTTGGCCATTTTGATTGAAGAGTACATTATAAAATTAAAAAATAACTTTTTTTTTTTTCCCAAGGGCCTTCTCAAAAATTTTTATTTGGGCCGCGTAACATTTTAAACCGTGTTAACGTGGGGAAGATAAGTCCTTGGAAGCAGCGACGGGCATCGCACGGATGCGGCGTGTGCTGAGGCCTGATCTTCAATTCTGTGACGACACAGACGTTAAAGTTATCTTCTGCAAGTTCAGCTACTTACCTCGATGTAGAGCACATATTTAATTTCAAGTTCAACTGACATATTTCAAGGGGCTAATCCATTTTCTGACAAAGCAAGGGAAATTGAAATATGCACCTTGCAGTCTGAAGTTAATACATCCGATTTCAGTTGAACGGGATGTTTCCTATTTTTAGTAAAACCAGAAAAGTTTTATATGAAATTCCATTTCAAATCAGGGCCTGCCACCTATTTCAATTACGTGGGCACTCTCCCTTTGATTAAAACGCGCGTCTCATCTTCCTACCCGTATTGCCACCAGGGGGCATAATACAGCTTGCATAACCAGTGCTAAAATAGCTGTGGAATTCAAGGTTTGAAATGGAAGAGTTGAACATTTTAAAGTGATAGTAACAATCCCCAGAAAGAACTTAGCGACAATCTGCTTCGAGCTGAGATGAGTTTGAAATAGTATCTTCGCATTTTTAAATTTTTCTGCAAGGATGACTCATACAGGAAAACTCTTCTCACATCTTTGCTCACATTACAAAGTTCCAATTCTGACCCTATGTTTACTATCCTTTAAAAGAATGTTTAAGAGATTTTGCATATACGTGGCACATGTGCTCACCAGAGAGACAGAGACAGAAAGCGAGAAGTCACCGCCAGGGGAGATGGTCACAGCACGATCCCCTCTCCAGTCTCTCAGGATTTTGAACATTCACTCACATGTACCTGGCATGAATTTCAAGCCTCCAGGTCCAGGACTCGAACCGTAGTTGGTCTTGTGGGAGCCCAGTGACATAACCATTATGCCATTCTGCTGGTCCCTAAAAATTAAAGTTCTGTGGCTTGTAGCTGGTTCTAGATCTCTAGCCCAGATCCATGCAAATTTTGAAATTGAATTTTCTCGAGACAAGAATTTGATATACCACACAAGCAAGTCACTTAGGAAACGAACCTAGAATGCCACCTGGCATTGATAGCTCAATGTGACTTTGTTTTTTTCTTGATAATTTTGTGAAGTACCCTAATGGTATGATTTGGTGATTCTCTGTGGTTCTACACTTGAAACACACATATGAACTGATTTTAGTAACAGTAATCCTTGGAGATCACCGTAAGAACTGCTATATGATGAAAAACAAACCAGAAACAGTTCTTACATTCCCTTTTCTAAAATGGGAACAACAGGGACCAGCATATGGCATAATGGTTAGTTACATCACTGGACTCCCACATAGTTGATCGGGGTTTGAGTCCTGGACCAGGCGGCTTAAACTCACACCAGGCAGATCCAGAGAGGAGAATGGCAGAGAAGGGATTGCATCGTGACCCTCCCTCCCCCCCAGGGGTGATTTCTCACTTTCTGTCTGTCTCTCTGGCGAGTGTATGTGCCCTATAGCAAAAACCTCCCTCGCAAAATAAATAAATAAATAATAAAATGGGAACAACAAATAGTAATATATCTCGTGCATGTGAAGATGGGGTGGGTTTTGGAAAATAATTAATTA